GTCCACAACTGTGATGCTTCCATGGGCCACAAGGAAATGGAAATGAAGATGATGGTGCGTTGGGGATGACTGAAGCTTGGGGAAGAATTGCAGGACATGTGCCACATCCGATCAGCTATTGTCCTTACTTACTCTCTGCTTTTGGACACATCCTCCTCCTCCTCAGCAAGCCTCAGTTTCCTCATCTGCACCTCAAGCCCCACAGAACTTGATTCTCGGGTCATGCCAACAGGCCAGCCCAAGATGATAGCAAGGCCCAGTGCTCTGGTGTGCTCTGCACATCCCTTACTCCCTTGCCACTTCTGGAATATAGGAACAGGGTCTTTGCAGCCACCCACACGGGGGACAGGCCCCAACACACCTAACCGTGTCTTAGTGACAGGTCAATGGATGACCCTATCACGGTCTGCTCAGTTCCATATAAGTCAGCACCTGGAACCTAACATAAAATGAGAACTCATCTCTGTGCTCATGTTTGCCCAATACTAAATGTCTGATGACAAAGAGGTCACAGAAGCCAAGGGAATTCAGCTCTCTCAGGTGGTGTGGAGGAGAATGGGCGTATGGGACTCACCCAAGTTTGGGCCTCACTTGCTTGGCTGAAGCTGACTTGTTAATTTCTTAATTTGGATTACTTGGTATTTTGGACCCTACCCAGCTGTGCTCGGTACTAGGGGACACCCGGGGTGGTGGTCATGGACCATGCAGTGCTGGGGATCGAACCTAGGCCTCCTGCATGAAAAACATGCACTCAGCCTGTTGAGAATATTTCCCCCACCTCTAACCTGATTATTTTTACAAAGAATTAGAACACAGATATTTATAGCTTATGCCTAAGTACCCTGAGAGTAATTTAGCTGAATAAGTGGATTAGGAGTGCCTGAAAATCCTACCTTTAGCCAAATGTTCTCACTGGACTGGGAGCGGGAACGCTGCTAATTAGTAGGTAAGTCAAAGAGCCCAGAGTTCGGCAGGTTCAATGACCTCAAGCCCATCACGTCCACACGGTAGGCAGTGCCTGCCCCACATGTGGGTTGTGCTGATTGAGTCTCCCTCACGCCCTGTGTGAGAGGTGAATGGAGACAGTGCTGCTGGCTTACGGTCATAGAGCAGAAGGCAGGCTGCAATGCCAAAGAGATTGTGGATCTGTCCACTCCAAAACCAAACAGATAAAACCAAACCAAAAGGGAGGAGGACCCACAAACTCCTCCCATTGGGGTGCCACAGTCTTCAGACTTCTGATCTAGTCTCTGTCTGTTCTTTTTCTTTCATGCATGAAGGAGTAATGGTCATTTCCTGATTTAGTGGTCAGACTCTGAACACCTTTGGAAAAGTATCAGAGGCAGTTTCTGAGGGTCAGATGTTGAACCACTGCACTGATTGGCACTGACGATATCTCCAAGTCATCCCTGGGTCCCAGCCTCTTTGTGCGACAAGGGTTGCTTCAGCAGCATATTTGAACTTGTCCCACACACCACTCTCGCGCTCAACCCCTGCTTTGCTGAGCTTGAAAATCCTCAATCCTCCCTCCAAGTACCAGAACCTTCTCTTTTGCTTAGACAAGAATTTGTTACCTCACCTTTGGAGGGACAAGTTCTTCTGAATCTTAAATTTCATTCATCACTATTTATTCCCTGGAAAACAAGTGATGCAGGAGTTTTAAGCTCTGGGATAGCCCATCCCAGACAGGAGCAAATCTGCATAGGTGTATGGGTGAGGATCACACCTGAGACAGGCGCGAATCTGCACAGGTGTAAGGGTGAGGGTCACACTTGAGAGAGGAGTGAATATACACAAGTGTGGCGGGGGAGGGGAGGGGAATCACACCTGAGAGAGGAGTGAATCTATACAGGTGTGTGTATGTGTGTGTGTGTGTATGTGAAATCATACCTGAGAGAGGAGCAAACCTACACAGGTGTGTGTGAGTGTGGGGTGGGGTTGGGGGAAATCATACCTGAGAGAAGAGTGAATCTACATAGTTATTTGTGGGGGGTGGGGGTGGGGGATCACACCTGAGAGAAGAATAAATTTGCACAGGTGTGTGGATCTGCTGCAACGAAGCTTCCATTGAGGTGGAGGAAAGTACTTTTGGTGTGAGGTGGCAGGGCAGAAAGCTCAGTGGGACCTGGGGTTGGCCCCTAACTCCATCCCTTTCACCAGCTCGGCTTAAGGAAAAGACTCTGTTTCTCATGAAGACCCCGTCCCTTGACAGGGGGTGAGCAAGGGCCACCAAACCTGGACCTGGCTGTGCTGAGATTGGAACAGTGGATGCTGATAGGTGGTGGAGATGGAGATGTTCCTGAGGACACAGGCTGAACACATGGGTCAAGGAGAGCATGCACCGGGGGTGAGGGATGTGAAGGAACTGACACTTGGAGAGCACCCTCAGGGCCAAGGGGGTGATTCAGAAGCAAGAGAGATGCTGGGCTGTCTCCAATTGGGGCTGAGGGGCGGTCATGGGCAGCAGGCGCGGAATCTAGTCTGAGGGAGGAGGCCAAGGTCAGCAGCCTACCCTCCAGCATCAGAGTCTGTGTCTGGGCATCACTTCAGTGCCCTGATCCACTGAAGGAGGCCCAGTGCAGCCCTGGGTGACATGAAATCTCTGCATGGACACAGAGAACACGTCTGAACCTGGAAGCCCCTGTATTCCCCACACAAAGTAACGATTTGGGGTCCAAACCGCATAAACTGGGTGTTTCAAAACCAAACCAGAAATCCCTCTGCCATGCAACAAGCTTACATAACCCAGGCCACAGAGACCATTCTAAAAAGCTTTGTGTTAAGTACAAAAGGCACTTTCTCTTCTGAATTAAGCTCATGGATCTTAAAGCAATTGGCATGGGGCCTGGGACACATCAATTTTCCCCCGAAGATTCACGGCTGCCCATGTTGTGTGGGATAAAACACCTGACCAGACTGCGTGAAAAAACCCATCAGGCACTTCTGTAAATGTATGAGCAACTGAAGAACAGAAGATGCTGCTCAGAATTTGGAGTGCTGGGGCTGGAGCAATAGCACAGCGGTCGGGCATTTGCCTTGCACGTGGCTGACCCAGGTTCAATTCCCAGCATGCCATATGGTCCCCTGAGCACCGCCAGGGGTAATTCCTGAGTGCAGAGCCAGGAGTAACCCCTGTGCATCACCGGATGTGGCCCAAAAAGCAAAAAAAAAAAAAAAAGAATTCGGGGTGCTTCCCAGGGCAGCAAGGCTTCTCCCCAGTAACTGAGACTTGTGACATTTCTCTGAACAAAATGGGCCCAGAGCAAATGCCCAGCTAGAAGTAGAGCTGGCTCTGTTCTTCCTGCCCAGGTGCAATGGTCAGGGAAGTGGGGGACAGAGCCCAGAGTGCTGCCACTATCTGAGCACACAGATGGAATAGCAAAGCCAAGGGGATGCCTGGTCCCTGCCCTCCTCACCCCTGCCCTTCCTATCCTGAGGAAGACCTGGCTCAGCGGGGAGACCGAGAGGCTTCTGGACCATCACTGGCTTTGTTTGTTACTCGCATCACCTTTTCGGATTATGGTGATGAGGTGGAGAAGTCTTGGACCACAGTTGACAGTGCTCAGGGTTTACTCCTGGTTCTGTGTTCAGATATCACTTCTTAAGGGGTTCAGAAGCCATATATGGTGCCAGGGATAGAAACCAGGTTGCCTGTGTGCAAGGCAATGTCTTAGCCACTGCACTATCTTTCCATGCACTCATGCAGCACTTCTGAATATTAAAAATGTGAATGCCCTAGGAGCCAGGGAGCAAAGGCAAGGAATGAACTAGCTCTGGTTTCCATCTTTGGCGTGACTCCAAGCATTGCCAGGAAGGACCCCCTGAGCACCACTGGGTGTGATCCCCAAACATACAGACAGAACAATGAAAAACCAAACAAAATCCCAAAAACAAAATTGGAACTCCTTGACAAGGGGTATTGTTCTCAGATCTAACTATTCCTCCAGGAACTATTTCTTGCTTGATTTACTTCCGTTTGTCACCATGGAGGCAAAGTGCCATTATGGGGCAGCCCAGACAGGACGATGCAGCTCAGGTTCTGAGCAAGCCGCTGGGACCCCAGGGCCCAACTCAAGCTCAGAGGCCTCCCCACCTTCTTGGGGGCTGAGTCGGGGCTCATCAGGCAGCAGCTTGTCTGTGCATACTGACTTGTCTAAACGTTCAGAACAAGGAACTGAAAAAATGAGGAGACCTCTTTAAGAAACTGCAGCCTTGAATGTAATTAATTTTTTTTTTTCCACCCGTACTCAGAGCTGCAGCTCTGATGTTCAAATTTGGAGTGTGGGATTATATGACTTAGCTTTCCTGGAACTCTCTGCTGATGAGGGAATAAAGTGGGCTGATTTTCTCTTTCTCTTTTTTTTTAAGGTCTCTGTCATAAGCCCCGAGAACAATCTCTTCCAAGGGTCTCCTTTACAGCCCTGCGGGGAGTTGTGTTTCTTCTGAGTGTGAGCCATATGTCACAGGCAGGGCTCTTTCGGCACTGTATGTTCAGGAAGGAGCTGTTCCTACAGCTCCTGGGAAACAGGTGTAATTATCTCGACTTTTTACTTATTTGTACTGTGGTGTTGCCAGGGACAGAACTCTACCAAGCAAGGCAAGTGCTCTACCACTGAGCTCTGTCCCTGGCCCTTACCTTCCTGTTGTAAACGAGAAGCAAACTCAGAGAAAATGCTTTGCCCATGGTCACTAGTCAGACCCCCTGGACGTGATCAAAGAGCCAAGACTCCCCCTACCCACAACACACAGAGCCTTCATCTGCCCTGACTGCAGAATGCCTGCAGAACAGATAGGGTCAGGACCGGACCTGCAAGAAAGCAGTGTTTGGGTAAAAGAGAAGAAAGAATCATTGGGGACCCTTAGACTTCGGTCACGTGTTCTGGCTTCTGCATGGGGAAGGCAGATTCAGCTCAGGAGAGCCAATCTCATTTTCTTGCCACAGTGGAGGACTGACCCATGGAGGAACAGAGACAGCAGGAAGTGGGGGGGGGGGAACCCACCTCCCTCAAACTCTGTCTGGCAGTTCCCTGACGTCTCGTTCAGACTCTCCTCCTCATTGATGATGATGTTCTCGATGTCCTTCATCGTTAAGTGGTCTCGGAAGGCGTGGTAGAGGATGTGCTTCAGCTCTTCCAGAGTTATCCTTTGCATGTCAAACTGTGGAGACAAGGAGGAGGGAGAGAGTGAGAGGCCACCAGCAGTTGGGGTTCAGCAGAGGGACACTAGCTGGGCGCACAGCCCCACCCGGAAGTTGCTGCTCTGCCCCACCCGGAAGTTGCTGCTCCAAGCCTGGTGGATGAGCAGCTCAGCTCCACGCATGCTGTGAGTTTGCAGGACCTTCCACATTCCCCCTTAGCGTAGCCTCCCAGAGAGAAAAAGGCCTCCTGTTAGTTTGGTTTCCAACTCATCCAGCCATCTGCTGTCACCCCTCCACACCTCATGTACTTTGGAGCCGTGTCAAACTTCAGACAATGCACATGCGTCTAAAAAGGCACAACTCTCCAAAAAGCTAACACCCTCCTCCGGCTTCGAGTGGAGAGCTTGTTCTAAAGATGCTGTGTCCCTGTGGAAGGGCCTAGCAGGGGAGGGGAACAGTCCCCACTCTCTCTTCCAGTGGGAGATCTCCTACTTGCCCAGTGCATTCCTCCCAGGTAGGCGAATGCCGCCCTCTTAGCCAATAAGCCTGAATAGAAGTCACACATGCCACATCCAACTCAGCTGTGAGATTCACTGGCTCCCCCATGTTCTCCCTCTGCCACAAGGATGTCTCTCCACCTTCCCAAGGTGTTAAAGATTGAAGATGTAGGTATTATTCCTTGTGGGGGTCCCAGGGGAGGATAAAGAGGATACTATGTAGCTTTTCCATACAGGAAGTGGAGGGGGCTTAAAAAATGTCCTTTATGTTATAGCCACAGAGACTTGGCTGGCTCCCACAACTATCTTGGTTTAAGTCAACAAAGCATAAATGAGTACACAGAGACAGAGGCTACAGTAAAGAGGATTCTGAAATACGGCCACTTGGATAGAGAGTGGGAGGTGAACAAACTGTTACTGAAGGCTGAAAAGGTCACAGAGCAACACTTTTGCCACAGTGTTGCCTGTCTACCTGAGATGGATCTACTGTCAAGGAATCTATGACTCGAAGTCATAAAGTTTGAGAAAAGCAGCCCAGAGAGATAGTACAGTGGGTAGGGCTCTTGCCTTCCATGTGGTTGATCTGGGTTCCATCCCTGGCACCTCATATGGTCCCCTGAGCTCCAGCAGGAGTAATCCTTAAACTCAGAGCCAGGAATAATCTCTGAGCAGGGCCAAGTGTGGCTCAAACTACAGTCTCTTCAAAATAATAATAATAATAATAATAACTTTGTGGAAACGTTTGCTGGCTGCATCTGCCAAGAAAGAGATGAGCTCTGGAAGTACCTGATTGATCTGATAACTGGAAATGAAGATTAATTAGCTGGGTTGGAGGAGGTGAGATTTACCACTCCTCCCCCGACCCTCCCCCTCAACTCCACAAAAGATAACCTAAAATTCCTGGTCTTGCTGGACTGAAAGAAGCAGTTGTTTCTCACATCCACTAAGGAAGAGAAGCAATTGAGAAACGTGTTAAATAATGATAGAGGCCTCTTAAAATAAGTCAAAGTTTGTTTAAACCTCTAAATATGTTAGGTGGCTCTCCCAATATTTGGAGTACTTAGTTTAGAGAGACGTATGTTTCGGAAATAGTTGTGGATGTGGCTATTAGCACAATCCCAATGGAAATGAATAGATAATAATAATTTGATGAAGCTTTTGAGAGAAATAATCTGGCCAAGAGACAGACAGAAAATAAAATATTTCAAATTATAAAACTTCATGATGATCTTTGGGTTCAAACTTCAAATGATGACTGTGATCCAAACTTTTGCAAAGATAAGCCTTTATGAGGAGCATTTTCAGGCCCCAGGCTTGGCAGATTTCTCCCTATCCTCATCCCATGCATACAAAATATGGGGAAGATAGAGGGAACAGTAGGGATTCAGGCTTGAAACCCTGCAATAAAATTCAGAGAAACTGCCAGCAAGCAGAATGAGGATCAAGGAGAATTGGGTGAGTCCCTGACCAAAGGGAGTGGAACTGATCTGAGCCTTGTGTTGCTCGGAGTCTCCCATGAACTGTTTTCCAGCTGGGAATAGTTTGGGAGGTCGGCCGCACCCCCATTCCATCCCCATGCTTTGAGTGTACGGGGGGAGGGAAGGGAATATTGTCTTGTTAAGTTCATAGGTCTCAAGATCAAGAAGAGCCACATGCAGATCTATGACTATCACACGAATTTCTAGATCTGGATTTGATTTGGTAATTGAACTGGGAATTTGCAATGTCTCCCTTGGGAAAGGGATGAATATATTTTGTGGCTAAAGGGAAGAAAATAAATATTTGTGAGCGAATGTAGGCAATAAGAGGTTTTATTATTTTCAGTTGCTCTCCTCTCCTGGAGAGAGCATTAGCTCTTTGGCTCATGGACAGTTAAATGAGGGCAATGACAAATCAAAGACCAAAATGGAGTGTGCTTTCTTTCATTTGTCTTTTTCTTCCTCAACAGCAGCACCTACCCCCTGTGGGCTGCTCCTTTGTCCAGGTCCTTGGAGGCATACCGCATGGTGCTAACCCATGAAGGGCATGCGGTTTAAATGAGAAAACAACAACAGCAACAACCTTGTTAGCTACTAAGGCTGGTTTTTCTACAGTCTGACCTAGTCAAGAATGAATCCAGAAGTAGCATTTTAAGTTAGTCTGAATGACAATGAGACCATTTCATGACCTAAAATGATGATGCTTTAGGCCAGTTCTCTTTCCCTGGTTTCTCTGTAGAACATTTATTACCTTACTTTAAATAAGCCCCTTGTTCAGACAATCAAATTGTGTTCCTGAATCTGACTGGAAACTTAAATGGCATGCAATCACAGCCATCTCTATGAGTAAGAGCGACAGAGAGGGGAGAGGCAAGTGGGTGTTTTCTGCCTCATGAGGTATCAGTTCTACATGTGAATCTTGAGAAACACCCATGGTTGAGCCATGGTGTAAATCCCTGTGCATCTGACCTGAGAGCATGGTTGGGGCAGTATCAAGCTGGCAAAATGCCTGGTGGGAGTGAAGAGAAAGTGTGACTCTGTCACAGAGGCTAAAATGAAGAGTGACAAGCCAGAGACCTGGAAAAAACAAGCTCCCATTTCCAAGAAGCCCTCCAAAGGCCCAGAGGCCTGGGCCAACTTTAGCCTGCCGAGAATTTGATAATTCAGGATTCAATGAAAAGAACTGGTCAGGAACCAAGTCAATGAAAGAACTGACAGGAACAAAGAGATGCGGATTCTGGAAATGCATCATCATCCTTTGATTCAGCTACCAGGAAACCAGTATGTGGGCAAGAGTAATTAAGTTCATATACTCTCCACATAGTCATAATAGGTATTTTTTACAAGTTTGATACAAATCACTATAAAATAATACGGACACACTACTGGCTAAAATTTCTTCCATGATGATAGTCCACTTAGCTTTTCGATATTTTTTTTCAAGTCAACAATTCTGGAATTTTGAGTATTTTCCAGAAACTAGTCAAAAGATTGTCATATTGTCATATAACTTGCCCAATATCCCACAACTTAAAGTTTCTCTTGGTACTTCTTATGTCCCATTTTTATTTATGCCGCTATAATAATTTTTCTTTCTTCGAGGCATGCTGTTTGTTACTTTATTATGCAGTGTTTTCTGTGCATCCTGGACTGTGGCCGACAGAGCTATTTTTCGGCACCTAAGGACTTTTCCATTATGATATCATACCTGTAGGGCTGGAGCGACAGCACAGCGGGTAGGGCATTTGCCTTGCACGCGACTGACCCGGATTGATTCCTCCATCTCTCTCGGAGAGCCCGGCAAGCTACCGACAGTATCCCGCCTGCACAGCAAAGCCTGGCAAGCTCTCTGTAGCATATTTGATATGCCAAAAACAGTAACAACAAGTCTCACAATGGAGACATTACTTGTGCCCACTCGAGCAAATTGATGACCAACGGGAGGACAGTGCTACAGTGCTACCTGTAGGGTCAGTTTCACACAGAATTACATTTACTAATTATATTTACTAATCAAATTATATTATGTGGTCTTATAATTATGATCTGTATCTTATTTTTGGGATTTATTTGATTTGTCGAAGACTAAGAGCAAGTCTGTAATAGAACTTTGTCTCCATCAATTGTTTTTACAGCACAACAGTTTTAAAACAGTTTTAAAACATGTCTTCACTATCAAAAGACTGATTTCCTCCTTCAAGAAATAATAACCAGTCAGAGAGATAGTATAGCTGGTAAGGAGCTTGTGTTGCATGAGGTCAACCCGGGTTTGATACCCAGTACCACATATGGTCCCCTAAGCATTTCCAAGGAGTGAGTCCTGAGTGCAGAGCCAAGAGTAAGACTAGAGCACACCCAGGTGGTGCCCAAAAATCAAATAATAAATGAAAAAAATTAAATGATAATAATAATAATAAGATACAGAAACAGAATAATGGTAATAAACTACAATAAAAAGTGATTATTGTGGCTGACTCTGTTCCGTCACCAAACAGAGAGACTGAAGTAAGGTTTCAACCCTGTTCTCAGGAGAGCCGCAAATAAGGCATTTTAATTCCAACTGAACAGGAAAGGCTTCGTAATCCATGAGGGAGAGGCGGAAGGGTTGATCCTGGAAGGAGTTCTGGAAACTCAGCAGCAACCTCAGGTTCCAATCCCTATATCCAAAAAATAGGAGAGCTCTTACATAAAAAGGTGCACTCCTGTGTTCACTGCAGCACTTTCACGGGCGCCAAGATCTGGAAGCAACCTAAGTACCATGTGCACTGATAAAGATTGGCTCAACCAGACAATGGGAGACAATTCAGACATGAACAAAAGAAAATATCTGGCATAAGTGACAACACAGATGGGACTTGCTTGAGGGGATTTTGATACTTATTAGTCAGCAGAGAAAAACAAATAATCCATGATCTCACTCTTATGCAGAAGATGAAGAAACTAGGCAAAACAAACAAAACCAAACTCAGGGCATAAGATAGCTCAGTGGGATGAGTGCATGCTTAGCCTGCAGGAATCTGGGTTCAATCCCCAGCATCACTTGAT